TGTTTATTCAGCATCAACACCCTTTCTACTTTTTATATATTGTTTTTTTTATTGTGAATAGTCAAGCTGAACATTTTTGTTGAACACCAGTGCTATCTTTCAGTCAAATAACGTAACCTTGAGACAGATTTATTATCCGATCCCATGATTCGTTGAGTCATATGGTCAGGAGCAAAAAAAAGACGAAAAAAAAAAAGTGAATCATAGAATCAGTTTTAGAATCGATTCATTACAACAGACAGTTCGAAAGAATCGAATCAGTTAATTGAGCCAAACTTCCCATCACTAATCCCCCCCATTAGACTAGGGGTACCAGCTTGGTCTAGGCTTCTAGACTCAAACCCTTAAATCAAGGCTCAGGTATTTATTCCTAGAGTTTTAATTCTCTGAGCCTTCCTTTGCCTTGTAATCTCAATCACCTTGCATGTGCTTGTGTGTGTGTGTGTGTGTATACCTATTCTTATGGGGACACAATGTCCCCATAACGTGATAAATATTCATTTTTTTCCCATTATGGGGACTGGTTTTTTCCTTTTATAAAAGTCGGTGACTACTATGAAAAAATCAAAAATGCAAAAATTATTTTGTTTGGTTACTTGTGGTTATGGTTATGGCTGGGTGGGGGTTATGGTTGCCATAGTTAGCATTAGCATGTGAATAAGGATAGCTATACCCGACTGTGCGTGCGTGTGTGTGTGTGTTATATGTGAGGTCCGTCACTGGCTTAAACGTTGTTAAGGGGGCATGACTATGACATTTTCTGTCATTACGTTTACCAGTGTGTGTGTGTGTCTGTGTCTTAAAATGTTTTCTTTTCCAGACTACATAGCTGCAATCTCACAGAGACATGCTGTGAAGCTTTGGCTTTAACTCTCAAATCATACTCTCACCTGAGAGAGCTGGACCTGAGTGACAATGACCTGAAGGATTCAGGAGTGAAGCTGCTCTCTGCTGGACTGGAGAATCCACACTGTACACTGGAAATACTGAGGTCAGTCCTATATGACAGGTGAAATACTAAACTAGTATCTGTTAGATATTTGGAATGCAAATTAAACCACAGACTATGGGTATTTGATAATACAACTTGAATGCCCCCCAACATGTACACACAAAGCAGGAGAGTCTAGGGGAAGGGCTGAAGGATAAGCCACATGGGGAGTTTATTTACTGTTAAGCTCCTGTTGTCACGATCGGATAAGAAGGCGAGCAGGGAAGCAGGAGAGTACGCCAAACTTACGGGCAAATGGGGTTTTAATGAGCCAAGGACAGACAGGTAGGGGCATCCACGGACACTACAATGACGGATCTGACGAGACGTACTCAGACACGGACTAAATACACAAGACTAGCCAGAAATAACAGGACACAAGTGATCACAATCAGGAATTGACACGAGGTAATGAGGGGGCGTGGCACACGAGGATCGTACGGAGCTGGGCGTGACACCTGTTTAGGTGTCTTTTATTTAGGCCTCAAATATTTTTAGACCCTCACATGTATTTAGTGCCTCAACTTGTAATACAGCTGATGTAGAATTAGGGCTGGGCGATATGACTGAAAACTATATCACGATATGAGTGTTTCATATCGGTCGATATCGATAATTATTGACGTTTTTTATGACCCATTTAAAATAAAGACCAGGAGAAAAATATATTACATTTAAACATTTTTATTTTAAACATGTCAACAACCATGGAAAATAAAGTGTTTTTAAA